TATATATATATATAATTTACATTAATGAATATATTCTGGAATGAAACACATAATGCAAAATTAATTTTAGAGGGATGCATCACAAACTATAAGTATATTAAGCTTTGGAAATATACAAATACATGCAAAATACAATCGCAATTTAAAACAAAACACCAATTCAATCAATTCAATATCTCAGTAGAAATGCTAAACTTCACAATTCACTGGATGTAAGCCTAACTCCGGTCATCTAGAACTACATTGTACGCGCAATTTTTGATATTTTGAATTTCCCAGGCTTACACGGTGTACAACGTTGAGCCAGGAGCAGATAACAAGTATGAAGATCTACAGTGGAATTATGACAACCCAGTTGTCTATGTAAACGGCAAGTGAAAAACTTCGTTTGAGTATTAATTTTAATGCGGTGTTGCTCTGAAATCGAGAAAATGGATACAACGTATGGGTTGCTGATTAATTATACAATGATATTTAATTTTATTTTTTCAATTTCCCCTGAATTTTTAAATACATACCGGTATTTTGTACAAATCATAGAATAACACATCGTAACCCATGTAATCAATTATTATCATAATACAGTAAATTTTATTAATTTTTGGTCATTATTGTCTATTGTAGTCATGTATTAATATTTAACATAAGATTCAAAATAAAATTAATCAAATGCTGTATGTGTTTTGTAATAAGCTTTCATTTTCCTTTCTACAGTTATTATAGATAAATATTATTTTTGAGAGTAAATTAAAAAAATAAGAAACATGTCGTCGATGATAATCATCGTATGAGTGCTAAATTATGTAGGCTTTAATGGGTAATAAAGGACAAAATGACAATAATCAACAATGTGATACCATAATAATTCCTCCATGGTGATCCTGTGACGTACACCACTGCTTCGGAGGGAATATTATAATTATCTTGCGAACAGAAGCAATATACATATTATTTTGTACATAATGGTCCTACTCTAGGTCAACTTCATGAGAACTAAGCATTAACAAGTCGTTGGCTGCCAGCGACGAGTATACTCGCTCACAGTGTGTTGCTAGGGCGCCAGGGACGAGTATACTCAAAATCGGGGTAACTTTCTAGCCTTTATAACTTCTTTGTTATACATTGTAGAACCTCAGACTCAACGGCTGGTAGTTCGGGGAAGATACACCTAGACGATAACGTACATATGACGTATGTATGTTTGTTGTGTTATGTTGCCGGTAGTACACTCGAGCGGCACAAGTGGGGGCGTTCTTTGAACATATACCAACCCATGCAAAAAGCGGACGCGATAACTCGCACCTGGCATAGTCAATAACAGTGGCGTAGAAAAGTATTTTTCATTGGGGGGGGGGATGATTGGCGNNNCGTGTTAGTCGGTGGGGGGGGGGGGGGGAAGACTTCCCCTCCCCTGACAGTTTTTACCGGATTGACCAAGCCGACGTACCGGACTGGGTAATAAGAGAAAGAAAGAGAGGAGGGGGGGAGAATAGAAAGAAGTGGAAAAGAAAAGAAAAAGAGAAGAGAAAAATAAAGACAAGAATAAAAAGGAAGATATCATAATGATCAGACCCACAACACCCTGCAACCCCTTCTCCACTTCAAAAACTGTCCGATAACTCCTTGATCTATGCTGCCCGATGGCGTAACCGCCGGGGGATAAGGGGAAAATAATTATCTTTGGAAAATATTTATAGGCCTATATATATTTTGTAATATGAAATTAATTTTAACTTTTCTAATGTAATTATTTGAATGTTTTGATATTTCTATATGTATTTTTAATTTTAAATATGTCCCCGACAGGGGGAGGGGCAAAATCCCCCGCGAAGGGGAATATTTCCTCGACGAGAGCAAAGTGGTCGTGGTCGAGCGTCGCTGAAAATGTTTAGACAATTTAGGGGTTTCAAAGGC